AATGCCCTGAAATGAAAAAGATGATCTCTAGTGATGTGCTGATAGGGAATAAGATCATGTTGTAAGCAACATGTTTTACTCTGCTGATCTTCAAACATCTTTCATGAGAAGGACTGTCAGAAATGGAGCTGGATAGCTTAGAAAATGAAATGATACCTTGCATTCCAGTAAATTCATGTTGGGAGAAATTAACTACATCATCTGAAATAAGCCACTGGGTATTTCTGTTCTAGAAATTTGAAAGGGCTAGCTTCCACTCCTTCCATTATTACTTATACTAATAATAAAGCTATGCTTCTGTTTCTTGGAGTACACCCCCCTCTTTTATTAGGCACTGCGCAAAGAGAACGGAAAGGTCCTCCTGTACTTTCATGGTCTGTATGGGAAAATGGCTGTGCTCTCTGGAGCTGAAGGAGTTGCCACCATGTAAACAAGAAGGGTCACATCAAGCACCTTACTAGACTGGGAATAGAACTTGATTATTTTGTGTTATGTATAGCCCCTTCTGGGGGAAAAAAAAAAAAAGGAAAAACCCAGAAATAAATTATTTTCTAGGTCTCTCTATAACTAAAAGGCCATTTTTCAGCAATTGCATTTCTGGCAAAATGGTTACTTGGTCCTTATCAGTAGTCTATACTGCAATTGAAACACGTCATGTTGAATTTCAGGGAAAGCGAGGTTATTCTAAACCAAAATATATTATGAAGCCAATGCAATGTTCCACATACACTAGATGTTTACCTTCTATGAAAATGCATTTCCATATTTGTGCTAGTTTTCTAGCTAATGTTTTCTTTCCAGAGTCCTTAAAATGAAAAATACACATTTAAAAGAAAAGCAGGCAGAAGGGAAAAAAAAAAAAACAAACACAAACATATTACACAATACAGAATATATTTTCATATGATAAAACAAAAGCCTTAATTAGGATTAAGGCCTCTGAGTTATGCACTGGGAAAACACAAACACTTTTTAATACCTTCCCCTATTTTATTCTGCTTAGTATTGCTAATATACTGTTTATATTAATATACTTTCCTTTGCAGTTAATTATTTCCAGAGTAATTATACTGACTTCGTTTCTGAGTAACTCTATCTAAAACTCAGCTATGATTTGCCCATAAATTCCTCTGAGAAACTCTTCAGGACTCAAATTTATTAGCTTCAGCCTCAAAGCAAATTGTGATGCAAACCTGTTCAGCCATTTCTGAGTAAGATGCACAGGGACAGTATTCTTTGACTAAAACAATGAATATGTAAAAACTGCCTTTGTTAGTCCACAAATCTGGTTTAGATACTGACAAAATGGGTGTTTTTTTTAAATCACTTACATGAATCCTGAGGAACCAACATAAGCAGGAGTAATGAGGCCTGTAAGAGTACAGCTACCTGAATGGTATTTTGCAAAACGCACCATGTTCCACACTTAGGATTATACCCTCTTTTCAAGGGCATACGAGAAGACCTTTTTTGACAGTCTATTTGCCCCAGATAAATGTTGTGACTAAAAAATTGTAAAAACCCGCAAATAACTCACACTCCCAGTTAAGAGTGTATCAGCAAACATGCCAGCCTAGTTATACTTCACAATTCATAGGTGTGATGAGAATGTATGTACTTGGTTTTGCTTTAACGGCACTATGCTTTTAGCTTGAAAATATAATTTTATTTAACATGGATGATCTACACATCAGCCATATAAATAAAAGATATTATCATAAAAATAGACTACTTAATTCCCTGACCTCTTGGCCAGGCCTGTGCGATTTCAACCTTTTGTTAAATTTTGTGTTAATAACAAGCATCTACTGAAGGCAATGGTTTCAGACAAAAAATCTTTCTTTTTTTTGGCATTGTCTTTCAATAAGTATTTTATGCTGGATTTTTAATATAAAAATATAAAGTTACCTTTTTCATGGAAAGTTAGAAGATTGATGTTTGTTTAAAACTAGGCAAGCGAGTCCACTGTAGTTCTCTCCTGAGCTGAATGCACTCTTTCAAGCCTCACAATGACCGTAAGGCACACTTGTTGCTTATCAGCTTATGCAGTCCCACTGTGATGTTTGCATCCCATCCACTCGCAGAACACCACCCTGCCTCCTTTCTCGGTTTGGTGAGGTGTAATGATTTGCAGTCAAACATTACCCAGCAACTGGAGCCAAGGAGTAAGAAAGGATGCAGACCTATGTGAACATTAGGGACTGGGAGCCTTCCAGCCCGCTGAAAGCCTTTGAGGAAAGGAAATGTAGCTGCACCTTAGCACTACGGCTGTTTCCCATTATATACTCTGCCACTGTCATGTGATGTTGTGCTGACATATTGAACCACATAGGTTGGCTCTGCATTAGTATGTGCTGTGGCGCAGAGAGGGACTGGGGCCTGATTTGGTGGGTCAACTGGCACTGAAGTTTGAGCTGATTGCCAGTTCTAGGTGCACACCATTTACCTCCTAGGCAGCGCTAAGCAGACTTCCATACAGTCCTTTCAGGCTCTGTTGTGGCACCTACAGAATCACAGACAAATGCAGAGGGCAAGCTGCTATAGGACCTTATGTTCACACTGGCAGTGGGGTGCTCTGAAGGCACCTGTCATGGCAACAACAACGTACCAGAGGAAAGCAGCTTTCAGGGCATCAGTGTGGTGTTCAAGTGCATACCAGATTCAGTATAGACATAACTTACACCAAAAAAGAATGCACTTCAGCAAACTAAGGCACTAATATACCCCCACCCCCAGAGCCTCCTGCATTTGGGAAAAAGAAATCTGAGAAGTCTAGGACTACAAAACATCAAATTTTCCTAAGTAAAGGAGGCCACAAATTATTTGAGAAAAAGCCAGACTTTGAATTATAGTTAAAGTATAATACAAATCCCCTTATCAGGACACCTTGGTGGATTTCAGATTTTCCAAATATATAGCATATAAGTACATCAAAGCTTAATACTAAAATTTAAAATACGTAATAGCTCATTGCATGTTTGTAAGGCAGTACACTAACCTGAAGGTTCTTTTATGCCTATTTATGTCTTTAATCTGCTAAGTTTTTTGTACGTTAGAATACTGAAATGACATAAAAACAATCCAGTTGCCAATGCAAAAAGAAAAGAAATTTTGAGCAACATGTGATTTTAAGTACAGAAAAAACACTTTTAATTGCAATTGATTGGTCAGTCAGGCCAAAAATTGGCCTCATTAAATGAGATCAGAACCTTTACCACACTCTGAAGGATTTTCAAAGTGGAAAAAATAACAAAGTAGGTCTTTGATCTTTTTTGCAATGCCTCTAAACTAATGTTTTGAAAAAGAAAAAGTAAAATTGTTAGCATAATATCTGAAGAAAAACCTCCTATCAGACATCTTACTGGCTTTCCAAGGATAATTAAGCAAGTGGGCTTCGACAGCAGAAAAAAGTTTTCAGCTTCATCTTCATCAAAGATGTCTGCAAAGGGCTGAGCTTGGTTTTCCTCTTGTGAAGCCATATATTATCTACAACTGGGAGGAAAAAAAAAGCAGCTTGTTATAAAATACAGGAGCTTACATATGTTTATAATGACACATACTTAAAAATGGAACTGAATAATAATGTGATACAGGGTGAATTGCTTTGTAACAAAAGCTGTTATAAGGAGAAAAAACATTTAGGGAACATACACAGTGCACCCATTATAAAGAGAAGAGTTGCTTCCAAAAAATAAGGGATTGTCAGAACCATCCCCAATACCCCAGCTGCAACTATATGGTTATTGAAATTTACTTCCTTCTGCCTCTCAAACTGCTTTTTCTCTTTTTTAAACAGCACGTAGTTTGTTCATTATCTTTTCCTGCTGTTCTAATAACCACACAGTTGTAACTTCTCTGGTGCTTGAATGGACCAAGACCTTTGCCGGTGGGCTTCAGACACAGAGGAGCCCCACCATGGTCAATGGAACTACTCGCTGTGTCCACAGATAGGTACATCAATTAGGCTTTGCAAAATTAAGTCAGAGTTCATGATCTGTTCTGTAATCCTCTCATAAATCCCAGCTCTTCCAGGACTACAAGAGATCACACATCCAGTACTATAAAACAAAGAGAAACACGTTTCTAATTAAGGGAAGTTGGAGCAAAATTTGGGTGGGCCTTTCAAACTAATGGAGTCCAAAAAAGTGAGGAGCTTGATGAAGCATGTTTGAACAAGGCAAAACAAAACCTTGCTTTCTTTAGAGGGCCAATTAAGTCTCAACCCCAACCCCACCCCAGTCATTTTTAAACTAGAAAAATTCTATTATGGGATGAAAATCTGAAAAAGTTTGTTTTGAAACATCGAAACATAGAATCACAGAATGGTTTGGCTTGGAAGCGATCTTAAAGACCATCCAGTTCCAACCCCCCTGCCATGGGCAGGGACACCTTCCACTAGACCAGGTTGCTCAAAGCCTCATCCAGCCTGGCCTTGAACACTTCCAGGGATGGGGCATCCACAGCTTCTCTGGGCAACCTGTTCCAGTGCCTCATCACCCTCTCTGTGAAGAATTTCTTCCTGATATCTAATCTAAACCTCCCCACTTTCAATTTAAACCCGTTCCCCCTTGTCCTGTCACTACAGGCCCTTGTAAAAAGTCCTCTCCAGCTTCCTTGTAGCCCCTTCAGGTACTGGAAGGCTGCAATAATGTCTCCCCAGAGCCTTCTCTTCTCCAGGCTGAACAGGCCCGACTTTCAGCCTTTAACTGTAAGTTTCAAACCAAAATGTTCTGACACTTTCAGAATAAGACCTCCTGAATGATAGGGACAGTATTTTAATACTAAAAAAACCCACAACAAACAAAACAACCCTCCATTTCTCTCAGGGAAGCTCTCTGGCTGAACTTTACCTGACGGTTCCAGCAGTT